CCCGGTACCCTTTCCCCTATCTAGGAACTAGCGTGCCTGTGGGAAAAAAAAAAAGGAAGGGTTGGGGAGGAGGAGGAGGAAAGGAAAAAGGGGAGGATGGGATAGGGAACGGGGGATTGGGGGGTAATTAGGTTCGGTCTGAGGAAGGAGACCGACAGGTCTAATTCCTCAGACCAAGAGCCTCTTCACCACGCCAAGGAGCCCCCCTTGAAGAGGCCAGCACGTCAATAACCCTGGTGCGCAAGCCGTACTAGTATGTCGGAAACCCTGAAAGGGTTAAAGAGGAAATATCTTCCAGTAATTAAATGGTGTTAATTTTTTTTTAACAAGTCGGCCGTCTCCCACCGAGGCAGGGTGACCCAAAAAGAAAGAAAATCCCCAAAAAGAAAATACTTTCATCATCATTCAATACTTTTACCTCACTCACACATAATCACTGTTTTTGCAGAGGTGCTCAGAATACAACAGTTTAGAAGTATATATGTATAAAGATGCACAACATATCCCTCTAAACTGCCAATATCCCAAACCCCTCCTTTAAAGTGCAGGCATTGTACTTCCCATTTCCAGGACTCGAGACAAGCTATATAAAATAACCAGTTTCCCTGAATCCCTTCACTAAATATTACCCTGCTCACACTCCAACAGATCATCAGGTCCCAAATGCCATTTGTCTCCATTCATTCCTATCTAACACGATCATGCATGCTTGCTGGAAGTCCAAGCCCCTCGTCCACAAAACCTCCTTTACCCCCTCCCTCCAACCCTTTCAAGGACAACCCCTACTCTGCCTTCCTTCCCCTACAGATTTTTGCACTCTCCATGTCATTATACTTTGATCCATTCTCTCTAAATGACCTAACTACCTCAACAACCCATCTGACTAATACTTTTATTAACTCCACACCTTCTCCTAATTTCCACACTCCGAATTTTCTGCGTAATATTTACACCACACATTGCCCTTAGACATGACATCTCCACTGCCTCCAACCACCACCTAGCTGCAGCATTCACAACCCAAGCTTCGCACTCATATAAGTGTGCTGGTACCATTATACTTTCATACATTCCCTTCTTTGCCTCCAAAGATAATGTTATTTGTCTCTGCATAACCTCAATGCACCACTCACCTTTTTTCCCTCATCAATTCTATGATTAGCCTCATCCATCTGCTGACATGTCAACTCCCAAATATCTGAAAACATTCACTTCTTCCATACTCCTCCTCCCCAATTTGATTCCCAATTTTTCTTTATCTAAATCATTTGATACCCTCATCACCTTACTCTTTTCGATGTTCACTTTCATCTTTCTACCTTTACACACTCCCAAATTTGTCCACTAACCTCTGCAATTTTTCTTTAGAATCACCCATAAGCACAGTATCATCAGCAAAAATAACTGTCACTTCCCATTTTGTATTTGATTTCCCATAATTTAATCCCACCCCTCTCCTGAACACCCTAGCATTTACTTCTTTTACAACCCCATCTGTAAATATATTAAATAACCATGGTGACATTACACATACCTGTCTAAGACCTACTTTTACTGGGAAGTAGTCTCCCTCTCTTCTACACACCCTAACCTGACCCTCACTGTCCTCATAAAAACTCTTTACACCATTTACTAAGTTACCACCTATTCCATATACTTGCAACATCTGCCACAATGCTCCCCTATCCACTATCATATGCCTTTTCTAAATCCATAAATGCAATAAAAACTTCCCTATCTTTATCTAAATACTGTTCACATATATGCTTCAATGTAAACACCTGATCTACACATCCCCTACCCACTCTAAAACCTCCTTGCTCATCCGCAATCCTACATTCTGTCTTACCTCTAATTCTTTCAATTATAACCCTACCGTACACTTTTCCTGGTATACTCAGTAAGCTTATTCCTCTATAATTTTTACAGTCTCTTTTGTCCCCTTTCCCTTTATATAAAGGGACTATACATGCTCTCTGCCAATCCCTAGGTTTTAATTTTATAATCATTAATTTAACGTCCGGTCAAGCTTTTTGTGAAAGTAATTAGGAAGTGGGCAGTAAACCAGCGCTCCGGGATAGCAGCCTCACATCTACCGAGCTACCTCAGCGGACAAAAGAAAGGACAGTCGGAAACCCACCACAAAGCATACCTCCTTCGGTTGACACCCCCTAGAACCAACAGGCAGCTTCCGGAGATACACCCATCATCTGAAGGGCACCTCACCCACGACCCGGAAATCAGGAAGGGAGTAGGGCATCCTCAGACAATTCAGATTCCATGGCAAACCACACTACCCCTGAGGGACCTCACGGAGGGGGACGAACGCCAGCACACCACCCCCACCTAGAAACCACAATGCCAGAGGGAAGGGTCCTAGAGGCTACAAAAGGGACAAGGAAAAGAGGAGGGTTGGGAAAGGGGAGGGAAGGGAGAAAGGGAGAGTATGGGGAGGAAGGAATAGAGAAGGGAGGACTAGAGGGTAATTAGGTTCGGTTGGAGGAAGAAGACCAATAGGTCCAATTCCTCAGACCGATAGCCTCTCTACCACGACAAGGAGCCCCCCCTTAAAGAGGGGGGCAAGTGATATCTTCTCCTTGAGACAATGGATTCCTCATTCTTTCAAGTAATCTTGGCAATGGCGAGAATAAGCTGGGTGAGCCACATTGCAGTTAAGGCAAGAGGGAGGTAGGCTGCAGGATGTATTGATATGGTCGACAGCACCACCACCTGGGCATTCTGCCATGGTCCTACAATATTTCACTGGATGGCTTAGTGCCAGCAATTCCTACACTGTTGTGGTGTAGGGATCAACTCTCGAACTTGTAAATGGTGTCCTGCAACAAAGTGAGGATGGAAGTTTTCAGAAGTCAAAAGTTAAAGCGAGTTACACTGCAAAAGCATCTCCGCCCACGGGCAGGTAGTACAAAAGTGTCCACTTTGAGAATTAGGAGGTCTTGAAACTCAAGTTGCTCCAGAATGTCAGCATCACACGTCCAGAAATCATGCTGAACAATGGTACGAAGCAGAACTACGGTACCACTACAAGAATTGAGAGAAATGAATTTTCGAATTTTGACAGGAATATAATCTATAGAGGTAAGAAAGGAAAGATTGAGCCTGGGGTGCATTTCATATTGTGATGATGTGTATACCACTCATAAGAACATGAAATGAAATATTTTGCCAACATGTCACAGGAGTGCCTTGCTGATACTATGATCAGAAAGATAGTCAGTTGCAGAGTGAAAAACTTAGTCCACTGTGTACTTTGAAACGTAGTGTTTTAGAGATGCGAGTGTCGTGCTAGTCTTTTCTGGGAAGAGCGAGGGTAATCTAAGCAGTGTCATCTGTTAATGGTCATGATCATTTAGATATGAGACCAGAGCAGGTCAGTCCTGAGATATGCAAGTGATCTGAAAATCGTTGCATCATAGAGGGAGAAGCAGGAAGCATGGTCAAAGACATACGGAGTCGGATATATCAAAGGAGGGAGGCAGAACCTCGGTACCAAGAGTGGGCAATGAAATAACACCTGCAGAAGGTTCCAGGGTGTTAGAAAGGTCCAAAGAATGGTTCAATAACAAGGTAGGGTTGTGAGAGGGTGCCGCAGCAGATGGGGTCCAGGGGAAGAAGTTTCATGCATCTGGGATGTCATGGTTAGGTTATTTTTTTATTTTTCCAAGAAAATAAAAAAGGTGGAAGGGGAGGGGGGGGGGAGATATGGAGGGGTAGCTCCTAGGGGGAATGAAAGGGTTGTAAATCTCCCGTGCCCAAGATGACCTCAGTGTGGCCAGTAGTACAGATGTGGCATGGAACCCATGCCATACCCTACCCTTCATGCCGGTGAAGAGGCAATCCAGGGTATCAACCTCACATCTTCCGAACCACCTCAGTGTACAAAAAGAGTGGGCAGTCGGATACCTGCCACAAGGCATACCTCCCAGAATCCAACAGGCAGTCTCCAGAGATGCACCCGTCACCCGAAAGACACGCAAAACTTTCCCCCGGAAGACCAGAAGGGATCAGGACATCCCCAGATGATCCAGGTTCCATGGCAAACTACACCACCATCAAGGACCTCAATGGAATGTGATGGACAACGATACAATTTCCCCAACCTAGGAGCTAGAATGCCTAAGAGGAGGACCCCACAGGTCAAAAGCAAGAGAGGGTGAAGGGAGGAATGGGAAAAGGAGGAATGGGAAAGATGGGATGTGGAGGATGGGGCAGGAAAGGGGGGAGTGGGGGTAATTAGCTTCAGTCAGAGGAAGACTGGAATGTCCAATTCCTCAGAACAAAAGCCTCTTCACCATGCCAAGGAGCCCCACTTGAAGAGGGAGACTTGACACAAGGGTGAAAACATGCCATGTTGATATGACATTGACAAGCTCCAGAGCTTAATCACCTCACTCGCCCTATATCAACACCCTCCCTTTCTTGAATACCGGTGGCTACCAAGGACCTGTACAGCAAGCATGAGGGGTAGCTATCATGTCAGTAACAGCAGCTACGGAACCCTTGGCTTGGGAAACCTGTCATTGTTTACAAAGCTTGCTATCTTGCCAGTAAAAGATTGTAACCAAAAGTTTTAATAAAACATTGCTCAATAAAGGCTCTCCTTGTTAATAGCCCATTGTACCCCCTTTAATGTTATGATAAAGTTACCATCATTTCCTTAAACATCTTGTCTTAAACACCCTGTAGATGACTTTTCAAAACCCTGTGTATAAGCATCAACCATCAGTTGAAGATTTTCTAATAGCTAATGTGTTACAATAATTCCCAGTGTTAATTAAACAAACTCTGGAAAGGATAAGGCAAACAATTTTTTTTTTAACCTGGTAAAGGCATATTTAACTGGTTTAATGTTTTATAAAAATCAAGAATTTTTGGGTGATACTGCATCATTAATATCAGACTACATTGGTCACAAACCTACAAAATTAATGTGATATATTACTAAATAATATGAAAGAAATTTATAAAATTGTTTAAAATTTACCATTATATAAATTTAAGTAAAGAGTTATGCATCACTAGTAAACCTACTGCTTTAATTAAGGTACACAAATACTATAACAGTTACTCAACACTTCTACACTGGAGTACACAATCTGCATAATATGCTTTTAATTCACAATAAGCTGAAGGTTAGGAAAACATTTCAAAAATAATGATTTTATAAACTATTTCAAATTGTGTCCCTTAGAAAGTATAGAAACACTTCAAAATTACTTTCTTCACATGAACTAGACCATCAGTTCATGCACTTACTAATTAAATACAAACATAGCTAAATTCCAAAACTCATGTATGTCCCATATTTCTACTGGCCTTCACTGTTATAGCAGGATCTCTCAAGAGGTAACACAACATTATTAAGCAAAATAGTGTGTGTGTGTGCATGTTTGTAACCTATATGTACTTATCTATATGTAGTTGCAGCGGCTCAGTCTTACCTCCTGGCCAAATCTCAACTTGCCATTTGCCAGATTCATTCTCTCCTAGCCTCATGTACCCTACTGTACCTGCTCTTAAAACTATGTATGGAGTGTCTCCACCACTTCCTGACCACCTTGAGACTTAAGAAATACTTCCTGACATCCCCGTGGCTCATCTATGTCTAACTTCAAGTTGCCTTTGTGTCTGTTTGTCAGTCTGTGCTTATGCATGCTAAAAGTCAACACATTCACCTCCATTCATTCAATCGCTGTTTTTGCTAGAAGTGTGCCGACATTAAAATTCAGATGACTTTGACGGCAACATTCCCACCCCTCCTTCAGTCTGGGACACTGTTTTGTTAATTCTGTATCTAATACCTATTTTAGTTTGCACATAATATAGTTTGTTTCTATCAAATGTATCTAAGAGCAGCTACATTTAGTATTACTGAATATCAACGATTTTTTTATATGAAGACTGATTTCCCTGGAGCTGCAGTACAATAAAAATTAATACATGCTGAATTTGTTTGGCAAAGAGAAATCCTTGCTGAACAAGTCAAGATACTGAATTTAGCTTAACAAGCACATGGGGGATGAAGTATAATGTATGAAAACATTGCTGCTGTTGTGATATAAACATTCACCTTATAAAAGTCTTCAATTCAGCGAGCTTGTGTTCTGCACTGGTAGCCAAGCACAAACTTGCCGGTCAATTACATATTCCTCTCATCAGTTCCTGGATAACACCTGTATAATAGTTAATCATGTGATACAATGTATTGCTTCTATATATAAAAAACAGCATATTTTTCTCAACTATATTATATACAGTAGTCAGCATTTCTTTAACCCTTAAACGGTCCAAACATATATATACGTTCTCTCGCGTAGCGCCCCAAACGTATATATACGTTTCATTTGTCATTCATTCAACATTGGCACGATAGGCCTGAGTCGTCTAGACATGAGAGAATGGGTGTGCGCACTCAGTGTGCGCCATATGAAAAAAATTGGGGATGTCTGGGTACCACATGCTCTTTTTTCCTATAAATTTTTTTTTTCTCTCAAAATATTTGGGGCGCTGCGCAGGCGAACTTATATATACGTTTGCACCATTTAAGAGTTAAAATATTGCTACATCATCGTATTCAATGAAAGATTTTAAAACACTTATGACAAAAAACTACATGAATCATTAAAAATAAACCAGACAAAACTGCGTACCAGCTGGTCAAATGCAACTACCATATTAAAAATGTTTAATACAAAACATTGAAAACTTGTGCATGCATGCATAGTGGCTGAGATATAAAATCTAAACAGAGAAAATAGTGGAGAAATGTACAGGAAGAAGAGGGAGGAGAGAAAAGAGAGGAGAAAAAAGGAAGAAAAGAGGGAGGAGAAAGGGGAGGGAGAAAGAGAAGAGAAAAGAGGAGAAAGGAGAGAGAAAGGAGAGAAGAGAGAAGAGGAGAGAGAGAGAAGAGAAAAGAGGAGAGAGAGAAGAGAGAAGAGAGAAGAGGAGAGAGAGAGGAAGAGAGAAGAGGAAGAGGAGAGAGAGAAGAGAGAAGAGGAGAGAGAAGAGAGAGAGAGATGAGAGAAGAGAGAAAGAGAGAAGAGGATGGAGAGAGAAGGGAGAGAAAAGAGAAAAGAAGAAGAAGAAAGGAGAGAAGGGAAGAGAGGGGAAGAAGAGGAGAGGAGAAGAGAGAGGGGTTCAGAGAGAGGAAGAGAAGAAGAGAGGGAAAGAGAAGAGAAGAGAGAAGAGAGAGATAGAGAAAGAAAGAGAAAGAGAAGAAGAGAGAGAAAGAAGAGAGAGAGAAAAAAGAGAGGAGAGAGGAAGAGGGGGAGAGAGAAGAGAGAGAGGGAGAAGAGAAAGAGAGGAGAGAGAAGAGAGAGAGAGAATGAGAAAGGAGGAGGAGGAGAGAGAAGAAGAGAGAGAGAAAGAGGAAGAGAGAGGAAAGAGAAGAGAGAGAGAAAGAAGAGAAAAGAACGAGAGAGAGAAGAGAAAAGAGAAGAGAGGAGAGAGGAAAGAAAAGAGAATGAGGAGAGGAGAAGAGAGGAGAGAGAAGAGGAGAGAAGACAGAAGAGAGAAGAGGAGAAAAGGAGAGAAAAAAAAAGAAAGAAGAGAAGAGAAGGGAGAGAGAGAAGAGAGGGGAAAGAGGAATGAAGAGAGGAAAAGAGAGAGAGAAGAGAGAGAGAAGAGAGGAGGGAGAGAGAGAGAGAGAGAGAGAGAAGAGAGAGAGAAGAGAGAAGAAGAGAGAGAGAAGAGAAGAGAGAGAAAAAGAGAGAGAGAAGAGAAGAAAAGAGAAAAGAGAAGGGGAGAGAGAAGAGAGAGGAGAGAAGAGAGAAGAGAAGGAGAGAGAGAGAGAGAGAAGAGGAGAGAGAGAGAAGAGAGAGAGAGAAAGAGAGAGAGAAAAGAGAGAGAGAGAAGAGAGAGGAGAAGAGAGAGAGAAGACGAGAGGGGAGAGAGAAAGAGAGAAGAGAGAGAGGAGAGAGAGAAAGAGGGGAAAGAAAGAGAAAAAGAAAAAGAGGAGAAAGAAGAGGAAAAGAGAAGAGGAAAAGGGGAAGAGAGAAGGAGAGAGAAGAAAAGGGGAAAGAGAAAAGAGAGAGAAGAGAGAGAGAGAGAAAAAAGAGGAGAGAAGAGAAGAGAGAGAGAAGAGAAGAGAGAGAGAAGAGAAGAGAGAGAGAAGAGAAGAGAGAGAGATTGTCAAAATACCACACTTGGATCCACTTCGAGGACAGCGTGAAACAAGCTTTTATGCCACAAGAGGGCAGAAAGCAGCAACTTCACTTGGCGGTACCCTTCTCCAGAACATCACTCCATCTGAGATCTTTACATACCCAGGATGACTTGAGTATGGAACACATTCGTACAGCATAATGATGTCAACGAGATAAAGTCAGTTGATCAAATGAAAATGCTTGCCCACAGATGGCTTCAACTTCATCCTGTTCCCTACTTGTATGTCTCATAACAATAAAATGCTTTCAAATGAGCTGATGTAGGTAACAGCTCTTAGCTTGCCATAAAGTCAGGAATCCTTAACCTGTAAATAGCTGTCAATAAAGCTAGGGACCCTTTAAACCCTTTGTCAAAGCTGTGAAAAAAAAAAAAAAGAAAAAAAAAAGAAGAGAAGAGAGAGAGAGAAGAGGAAAAGGAGGGGAAGGAGAGAGAAGAGAAGGGGAAAGAGAGAGGGGAAGAGAAGAGAGAGAAGAGGGGAAAAGAGAGGGAGGAGAAAAATGAAAGCATGGATGGTGTGGGTAACAACAGCACAAAATGATACAGGGAAAACACACACATATAACATATCATATGGTAAATTAGCTGTGTGTTTGTTTGGGGCGTTTCGTTGTGTCGTGCGTGTTGGGGTGTGGTGTGTGTGTGTGGTGTGTTGTGTGGGGGTGTTGTGGTGTGTGTGTGTGTGTGGTGGAGTGTGGTGGTTTGGGGTGGTGTGTGTGGGTTGTGTGTGGTTTTTGTGGTGTGTTGGGGTGTGTGTGGGGTGTGTGTGGGTGTTTTGGTGTGTGTTGTGGTGTGTGTGTGGTGTGTGTTTTGGTGTTTTGTGTGGGTTGTGTGGTGTGTTGTGGTTGTGTGTTGTGGGTGTGTGTTGGTGTGTGTGTGGTGTGTGTGTGTGTGTGTGTGTGTGTGGGGTGTGTGTGTGGTGTGTGTGTGGTGTTGTTGGTGTGTGGTGGTGTGTGTTGTGTGTGGTGTGTGTGTGTGGTGTGTGTGGTGTGTTGGTTTGGTGTGTGTGTGTGGGGTGTGTGTGTGGTGTGTGTTTTTGGGGGTGTGTGTGTTGTGGTGTGTGGGGGTGTGGTGTGTGTGGGGTGGTGTGTGTGTGTGTGGTGTGTGTGTGGTGTGTGGTGTGGTGTGTTGGTTTGTTGTGGTGTTGTGTGTGTTGTGTGTGGTGTGTGTGTGGTGTTGTGTGGTGTGTGTGTGGTGTGTGTTTTTGTGTGTGTTGTGTGTGTTTTGTGTGGGGTGTGGGGTTTTGGGGGGTGTGGTGTGTGTGGGGTGTGTGTTTTGGGTGGTGTGTGTGGGTGTGTGGTGTGTGTGTGTGTGTGTGGTGTGTGTGGTGTGTGTGTGTGTGGTGTGTGTGTGGTTGTGTGTGTGGTGTGTTGTGTGGTGGTGTGTGGGGTGGTGTGGTGTGGGGGTGTGTGTGTGTGTGTGTGTGTGTGGGGTGTGTGTGTGTTGTGTGTGGTGGTGTGTTGGGGTGTGTGGTTTGTGTGTGGTGTGTGTGTGTGTGGGGGTGGGGTGTGTGGTGTGTGTGTGGGTTTTGTTGTGTGTGGTGTGGTGTGGTGGGGTGTGTGTGTGGGTGTGTGTGTTGTGTGGTTGGGTGTGTGTGTGTGGTGTGTGTGTTTGGGGTGTGTGTGTGTGGGGTGGTGGGGTGTGTGTGTGGTTGTGGGTGGTGTGTTGTGGGGGTGGTGGTGTGTGTGGGGTGGTGGTGTGTGTGGTGTGGTGTGGGGTGGTGTGTGGTTGTGTGTGGTGGTGTGTGTGTGTGGTGTGTGTGGTGGTGTGTGTGTGTGGGGGTGTGGTGTGTGGTGTTGTGTGGTGTGTGTGTGTGGTGTGTGGTGTGTGTGTGTGGGGTGTGGTGTGGTGTGTGTGGTGTGGGTGTGTGGTGTGTGTGTGGTGTTGTGGTGTGTGTGTGGTGTGTGGTGGTGTGTGGTGTGTGGTGTGTGTGTGGTGTGGGGTGTGTGTGTGGTGGGGGTGGGGTGTGGGGTGTGTGGTGTGTGGGGGTGGGGTGTGTGGTGTGTGTGGGGTGTTTGGGGGTGTGTGGTGTGGGGTTTGTGTGTGTGTGTGGTGGTGTGTGGTGTGTGGTGTGTGGTGTGTGGTGTGTGGTGTGTGTGTGTGTGTGTGGGGGTGTGTGGTGTGTGTGTGTGTGTGTGTGTGTGGGGGTGGTGTTGTGGTGGTGTGGTGGGTGTGGTTGTGTGTAGTGTGTTGTGTGTGTGTGTGTGAGTGTGTGTGTGTGTGTGTGTGTGTGTGTGTGTGTGTGTGTGTGTGTGTGTAAAGTTTAATATACCTGTATACTAAGTAATGTGTTCAGTGAGATGGTTTAATTTTTAGATGGACGTCCTCGTCCTCTTGCTCTAGTAGACCTCTGAACACGACTTGTGACAGCAGCAGTCTTGGCTGGCACCTTATCCTCTTTGGGTCTCTCTTCTTCAATAACAGGAGCCTCTTCAACCTCTACTTCAACTGGTTCATCATCCACACTAATGGCCAGAAGTAATAATGTTATTCAAGAAAATGACTTGCAATAAACCCTTAAGAATATAAAAATAAAGACATTTCCAAGTCTTGAGATACAACCACGTCAAACTTTCAGATAGGTTAACAAAATCAAATATTACGAACTGGTCCCATTAGACTGACAGTTCTACTTATTTTATATATCTGCATAGTCAAAGTGTTTGGAAACATCATGTCTACCAAATCAAAGATATCGTTACTAATTTTGGCAAGAATATTCAAAATTTTTTGAGACAGGAATAAGTTGGTAGAGGAATAGGGTAGAGGGGTGCTCAGAATTGAAGAGAGCTTTTACCTGGTATCTCTCTCATACATAACCATCATCCAAGGTAAAATTAAGCAATAAAAATGAAACATCACTAGCAAGGACAAAGAACATTACAAAAATACCATTACACCAAGTTATAAAAAAAAATCAATGATTAGTGTCCATTATCTTGAATATAATGGCCATCTTCCAAGAAGACAGGGGTGGCCCATGAAAAGGAAACTTTTACAATCATTTAATACCATTGTGAACCTGCAACTGTCATAACCAATTCACTCTCCAAATGCATAAACCTTAACCGCAAAGCAAGTAAAAAGTCTACTCTTCAAATTCCATAATCTGTGTTTATAATTCACCCAGTGACACTGGCAGTATTAGCAAATTTATGCTGAGAGAGATGCTGTGTTTTAAGTCGGGTAACCAGCCTTCTGCTGGAAGAGTGGTGCTCCCTCATGGAAATACCTCACTACCCTGGTCACAACCCACTTTAACACCAACACTGTCACTCTGACTTAGTATTAAGGCATTGTAATGATGAGGCAATGTTTTGAGGGGATGGCTGGAAGTAGTAGGGAAGGAAGCTGTTGGGGGGAAAAAGTTGTTAAGAGAGAAAAAGAAGGCAGGAGGAGGGGGGAGAGGAAGTCGGGACGGGGGAGAGAGGAAGTCGGGACGGGGGAGAGAGGAAGTCGGGACGGGGGAGGAGGAGTCGGGACGGGGAGAGAGGAAGTCGGGAGGGGAGAGAGGAAGTTCAGGAGAGGGGAGAGAGGAAGTCGGAAGGGGAGAGAGGAAGTCGGGAAGGGGGAGAGAGGAAGTCGGGAAGGGGGAGAGAGGAAGTCGGGAAGGGGGAGAGAGGAAGTCGGGAGAGGGGAGAGAGGAAGTCGAGAGAGGGGAGAGAGAGGAAGTCGGAGAGGGGAGAGAGGAAGTCGGAGAGGGAGAGAGGAGTTGGGAGGGGGTAGAGAGGAAGTCAGCAGGGGGGCAAGAGAGGAATCAGCAGGGGGTATGAGAGGAAATCGGAGGGGGAGAGAGGAAGTCGGGAGGGGGAGAGAGGAAATTGGAAGGGGAGGAAGAGAGGAAGTAAGATGGGAAAAAGAGAGGAAGTCGGGATGGGGGGAAGAGAGGAAGTCGGGAAGGGGAGAAGAGAAGTCGGGAAGGGAGGAAGAGAGGAAGTCGGGAGGGGTTGGAAGAGAGGAAGTCGGGGGGGAGGAAGAGACAAAGTCGGGAGGGGAGGAAGAGACGAAGTCGGGAGGGGAGGAAGAGAGGAAGTGGGGAGGAGGAAGAGGGAGTCGGAGGGGAGGAAGAGAGGAAGTTGGGAGGGAAGGAAGAGAGGAAGTAGGGATGGGAAAAAGAGAGGAAGTCGGGATGGGGGAAGAGAGGAAGTTGGGATGGGGGAAGAGAGGAAGTTGGGATGGGGTAAGAGAGGAAGTCGGGATGGGGGGAAGAGAGGAAGTCGGGAAGGGAGGAAGAGAGGAAGTCGGGAGGGGGAAGAGAGGAAGTCGGGAGAGGAGGAAAGAGAGGAAGTCGGATGGGGTAGAAGAGGAAGTCGGGATGGGGTAAGAGAGGAACTCGGGATGGGGTAAGAGGGGAACTCGGGATGGGGTAAGAGAGGAAGTTGGGATGGGGGGAAGAGAGGAAGCCGGGGAGGGAGGGAAGAGAGTAATTTGGGAGGGGGAGAAAGGAAGTTGGGGGGAAGAGAGGAAGTCGGGAGTAGGGGGAAGAAAGTTGGGAGGGGGGAAGAGGAAGTCAGGAGGGGGTTAAGAGAGGAAGTCGGGAGGGGAGGAAGAGAGGAGTCGGGAGGGGGGGAAGAGATGAAGTCGGGAGGGAAGGAAGAGAGGAAGTCGAGATAGGGGGAAGGTGGGATGGGGGGAAGTCGGGATGGGGGAAGTCGGGATGGGGGAAGTCGGGATGGGGGGAAGTCGGGATGGGGGAAAAGACGGGATGGGGAAAGACGGGATGGGGGAAAGACGGGATGGGGGAAAGACGGGATGGGGGGAAGACGGGATGGGGGAAGACGGATGGGGGGGCAAGACGGGATGGGGGGCAAGACGGGATGGGGGCAAGACGGGATGGGGGGCAAGACGATGGGGGGCAAGACGGGATGGGGGCAAGACGGGATGGGGGGCCAAGACGGGATGGGGGGCAAGACGGGATGGGGGGCAAGACGGGATGGGGGGCAAGACGGGAGGGGGGGCAAGACGGGATGGGGGCAAGAAGGGATGGGGGGCAAGACGGGAGGGGGGGCAAGACGGATGGGGGCCAAGACGGGATGGGGGCAAGCGGGATGGGGGCCAATACGGGATGGGGGCAAGACGGGAGGGGGCAAGACGGGATGGGGGCAAGACGGGATGGGGGCAAGACGGGAAGGGGGCAAGACGGGATGGGGGCAAGACGGGATGGGGGCAAAAACGGGACGGGGGCAAGACGGGATGGGGGCAAGACGGGATGGGGGCAAGAGGGATGGGGGCAAGACGGGATGGGGGCAAGACGGATGGGGGCAGGCAGATGGGGGCAAGGCGGGATGGGGGCAAGGCGGGATGGGGGCAAGAGAGGAAGTCGGGGAGGGAGAGAAGAGATTAAGTTTGGAGGGGGCAGAAAGAAAGTTGGGGGGAAGAAAGAAAGTTTGGGGGGAAGAGAGGAAAGTCGGGATGGGGGGAAGAGAGGAAGTCGGGATGGGGAGGAAGAGAGGAAGTCGGTATGGGAGGAAGAGAGGAAGTCGGGATGGGGAGGAAGAGAGGAAGTCGGTATGGGGAGGAAGAGAGGAAGTCGGGATGGGGAGGAAGAGGGGGAAGTCGGGATGGGGAGGAAGAGAGGAAGTCGGGAGGGGAGGAAGAGAGGAAGTCGGGAGGGGAGGAAGAGAGGAAGTCGGGAGGGGAGGAAGAGAGGAAGTCGGGAGGGGAGGAAAAGAGGAAGTCGGGATGGGGCAGAGAGGAAGCCGGGATGGGGCAAGAGAGGAAGCCGGGATGGGGCAAGAGAGGAAGCCGGGATGGGGGCAAGTGAGGAAGTCGGGATGGGGCAAGTGAGGAAGTCGGGATGGGGTAAGAGAGGAAGTCGGCAGGGGGGGAAAGAGAGGAAGTCGGCAGGGGGGGAAGAGAGGAAGTCGGGATGGGGGAAGGAGAGGAAGTCGGGATGGGGGAAAGGGAGGAAAGGAAGTCGGGATGGGGTAAGAGAGGAAGTCGGGATGGGGTAAGAGAGGAAGTCGGGATGGGGGGAAAGAGAGGAAGTCGGGATGGGGGGAAGAGAGGAAGTCGGGATGGGGGGAAGAGAGGAAGTCGGGGAGGGAGGGAAGAGAGAAAGTTGGGAGGGGGAGAAAGGAAGTTGGGGGAGAAAGGAAGTTCTGGAGGGGAAGAGAGGAAGTCGGGAGTAGGGGGAAGAGAGAAAGTTGGGAGGGGGGAAGAGAGAAAGTTGGAGGGGGGAAGAGAGAAAAGTTGGGAGGGGGGAAGAGGAAGTCAGGAGGGGGTAAGAGAGGAAGTCGGGATGGTGGGAAGAGAGGAAGTCGGGATGGTGGGAAAAGAGAGGGAAGTCGGGCGGGGGAAGTCGGGACGGGGGGAAGTCGGGATGGGGGAAGTACGGGATGGGGGAAGACGGGATGGGGGAAGAGGGGGATGGGGGAAGACGGGATGGGGGAAGACGGGATGGGGGGAAGAGGGGATGGGGGGGAAGACGGGATGGGGGGAAGACGGGATGGGGGGAAGACGGGATGGGGGAAGACGGGATGGGGGAAAAACGGGATGGGGGAAGAGGGATGGGGGAAGACGGGATGGGGGAAGACGGGATGGGGGAAGACGGGATAAGGGAAGAGGGGATGGGGGAAGACGGGACGGGGGAAGACGGGATGGGGGAAGAGAGGTAGTCGGGGAGGGAGGGAAGAGATTAAGTTTGGAGGGGGGCAGAAAGGAAAGTTGGGGGAAGAAAGAAAGTTGGGGGGGAAAAGAGGAAGTCGGGATGGGGGGAAGAGAGAAAGTCGGGATGGGGTGAAGAGAGGAACTCGGGATGGGGGGAAGAGAGGGAACTCGGGATGGGGGGAAGAGAGGAACTCGGGATGGGGAGGAAGAGAGGAAGTCGGATGGGGAGGAAGAGAGGAAGTCGGGATGGGGAGGAAGAGAGGAAGACGGGAGGGGAGGAAGAGAGGAAGTCGGGAGGGGGGAAGAGAGGAAGTCGGGATGGGGGGAAGAGAGAAAGTGGGAGGGGAGGAAGAGAGGAAGTCGGGAGGGGAGGAAGAGAGGAAGTCGGGAGGGGAGGAAGAGAGGAAGTCGGGAGGGGAGGAAGAGAGGAAGTCGGAGGGGAGGAAGAGAGGAAGTCGGGAGGGGAGGAAGAGAGGAAGTGGGAGGGGAGGAAGAGAGGAAGTCGGGAAGGGGAGGAAGAGAGGAAGTTGGGAGGGGAGGAAGAGAGGAAGTCAGGAGGGGAGGAAGAGATGAAGTTGGGAGGGAAGGAAGAGAGGAACTCGGGATGGGGTAAGAGAGGGAAGTCGGGATGGGGGGGAAGTCGGGATGGGGGAAGTCGGGATGGGGGGAAGTCGGGATGGGGGGAAGTCGGGATGGGGGGAAGACGGGATGGGGGGAAGACGGGATGGGGGGAAGCGGGATGGGGGGAAGACGGGATGGGGGAAGTCGGGATGGGGGGGGCAAGTCGGGATGGGGGCAAGTCGGATGGGGCAAGTCGGGATGGGGGGCAAGTCGGGATGGGGCAAGTCGGGATGGGGGCAAGTCGGGATGGGGGCAGTCGGGATGGGGGCAACAAGTCGTTCTCCAGGTGCATAAACACTATGCCCCACTTTTCATATCCAACCCTTATTTTACTCCACATAACCCTTTAATTTATACATTTATATTTCCTCTTTTCCTGCCATAACTTACCCTTCAACATTACTGCTACTCCTTCCTTAGCTCGAACTCTATTAGAAACCCCTGACCTAATCCCATTTATTTTTCCCCACTGAAACTCCCCTATCCCTTTCAATTTTGTTTCACTTAAAGCCAGGATATCCAGCTTCTTTTCATTCATAACATCCACAATCATCTGTTTATCATTCATACTACATCCATGCACGTTCAAACATCCCATTTTGACGGTTTTCTTATTTTCAGTAAGCGCTACAGGTAAAGAGATTACTAGCCCAATACTCCTGGCATTTTAGTTGACTTTTACAACACGCATGGTTTACAGAGGAAAGATTCTTATTCTACTTCCCCATGGAAATGAAAGGAAAAGTAATAAGAACAAGAAATATTAAGATAAAATCAAAGAAAACTCATATGAGTTTGTACACACAAATGTGTACATGCATGTGTGACCTCAGTATAAGTAAGAGTGGCAAGATATACCTGTGATCTTGTGTGTTTATGAGACAAACAAGACACCACCCCTCCTACCATCATTGAAAACAAATACAGGTTTCAGTCTCACATTCATTTGCTAGGACAGTGGTACCTCCCTGAGTGGTTGCTGTCTACCAACCTACAACACATTTAATATGTACTCAGATATAATTATACTTGTGTACCTGTACCTAAATA